TATGTGACTTGAGTCAGGGCCTTTCCTCTCTCTGAGACTCTCTGAGACCTAGTGCCAATCCCTCGTTTTATAGCTGTTGCATAAAATGAGGGATTGGCACTAGGGGTGCAACAGCTATAAAATGAGGGATTGGCACTAGGGGTCCCGCTCTCTATGACGTGCTGTGATGGGCCCTGGGGTGGGCTGATGTCCCACAGCACCCTGGAGGTCTCATTGGAGGCTGTGCATAGTCCCGGGCCTGCCTGGAGGCTGGGGTGGCCTTCTGTGCAGGAGCCTGGGATCTGGGTAAGGGCAGCTCCCTCCCATGAGAGCTCCCCGGGGAGGGGGAGGGTGGCCGCAGGAACTGAGAGTCAGAAGTGGGGGGCAGGGCCCCTCTTCCCAGCCTGCCTGCCACTGCAGGGCCCACTGTAGCTTCTGCTCACCCCAAACTTGCCTTCTCGCCATTCCCCAAACATACCTGTCCATTCTCTGCTTCCACATCCCGACCTCTGCTCTCACTGCTCCATCTACTTGGAGTATTCTTTCCCTCTGTGTCGGATTGGCAAATCCCTACAGATCTTCCAACACCCAGCTTAGATGCTCCCCCCTCCACTAAGCCCTCCCAGCGGCCCCCCCACCCCCAGCACTCCCGGTTTGCTCGCTGTCTCCACACCCAGCCTCCACAGCATCTCCCCAAAACTATTCCTCCAGTGCCCAGCACCGGGAAGACCACCCAGCTGAGCAGCCTCCCTTAGAGAAGGAAACAGCTTCAAAAGTGGCAGTTCTCTTCACAAGCGGAGGAGAAGGGGGGACAGGGTAGGGGAAGGAAGGTGGGGGAGTAGTTAGTAATTAATTATTATAATACATTTAAAACTAGTTACGGAGTACCTATCTCTACTTTATAGGTGAGAAGCTGAGGTCCAGAGAAGTGAAATAACTTGCCCAGCCAGGATTCAAAGCCAGGTAGCCTGGCTCCAGAAGCCGGGCTCTCAGCCATGGGAGAGCCGGACGCTGGAGGAGGAAGGTAGGAGGACGGGAGGCAGGGGGGTGAATGAAATTCCACCCTGCAGCTGGCTGATTGATGACCCGGCCGTGGTGTGAGGGCACTGGGGTTGGTGCCAACACTGAGTGCAACCGAGTGACAGATCCAGGATCCTGCCAGCTTGACGCAGAGAGGCACCTGCTCAGGTGCTCCCAGGGGACTCTGGCACCTGGCCTGACCTGGCCCCCCTAGAGAGGGCTGGAAATGCCCAAGGATATTCAGGAGAGAACATGGTGGGTGCAGGGTGCTGCCCTTGTGGGTATCACCCTCGGGATCACTCAAAGAAGCCCCTTCTCTCTAGCTCTTTGGGGGATGGGGTCCCTCCCTGGGACCACTAATTATGGTGACCTGAAGTGGTGCCAGCAAATGGCTCTGAGCTCTACCTGGCCAAGACACATTGAGGTTGAAGCCCTCTGCCCACCCTTGGTCCTCTGCCTCCCCACCCCCCAGCATAATCAGTTCTGGTTTATTTAATTGGAGAGCCTGGTTCCACCCTGCCTCTCTGTCCCCCAAGTCACAAGAGTGACATCTGAACCCACCTTGCCCCTTCCCTTGCTTCTCCCTCGGCGAGGGCAGAGAAATGGTTACACACAGCGTGTTCACAAACAAGACACGCAGGCACCCCGGGGCCAGGACCAGCCACCCTGGGCGGGCTTTGGGCCAGGCTACCTAATTTGGTCACTTCCATTGGAAGCAGGTTGGTGAGCGACTAGGAGGCTAGGCCATCTGTCCATGGGACCCCCATCCTTCCCAGCCCCCAGCCCTCGGGAGCCTTCAGAGGCTGGCTGCCCCAACAGAGAGACAGAAGTGGGACAGACAGGACAGCGAGAGACAGACCCAGGGCCAGGGGCCAGGCGGGGGCTCACCAGCTGGAGCACGGACGGTCGGGCAGAGGCCGGACGCCACCGCTGAGCAGCGCTGACGGGCCTCCCGGGGCGCCCTGGGGCCCTTTTATCCGGCTGCGGCCCGCGCGGGCGCCCCCCGCCCCGCCGCCCGCCGAGGAGGCCCCGCAGGCCCCGCCCCCGGGCGGACCCGGTCGAGGCGGGCGCCCAGCCCGGCCCGGCCCGCTCGGCCCCTCTGCCCTGCGCCCCGGCCAGG